CCAAAGCGACACTCGCCTCGGTGATGACGTCCACATGTCGGGCACTGCAGAACCTGCTGAAGCTTCTTCCTGGCCCTCTTATCTGTCTTGGCACCCTTATCCTTCCTCTTGTTGCTCTTGGTCGGCTGAGTAGATGGAAAAGCTGACATCGGTGGAACTGAAGACGACTGGCCACGAACGGCCTCCCTCCTAAGGCTAGCATCCACCTCCTGAGCAATGGAGACTGCACGTGCATATGTCTGTGTCCCGTGGCCTACGATGTTATGACGGACCGCTGGGTAAAGCCCGTCAATGAAACGCTGCGCTCGCTGGGCCTCCGTACAGACCAAATCGGGTACAAAAGCTGCAAGTCTCGTGAACTCTCTCTCGTACTCGTCGACAGTACGAGTACCCTGCCGGAGCGATAGAAACTGGCGCTCCATCTCTGCTCGGTAGTAGGTGGGATAGTACTTCTCACGGATCAAGTCCTTGAGCATCTCCCACGTACATCCCGCCTTCTCACCGAGACGCATGCCCCAGTAAGCGTTCCACCAGAGCCTGGCATCTCCGGTGAACTGAAGCTGAGCACAAATGACGCGATATCTTTCAGGGCACTCCATGACCTCGAAGATAAACTCCAGGCCCTGAATCCACTCGTCAACTATGCGAGGGTCTCCCTGCCCTGAGAACTTCTCGGCATGGTAATCGCGGAACTGAGCGACCACGGTAGCCTGAGTTGGTGCCATCTGAACATTGAAAGGAATTCAAGATTATTGAACATGATGATATTCTGACTGATTACTAAGGCACACAGATCTCTTGACGAGTTGCCAAAAATGGCCGATAAATACTGACATGAAACCTGAGGAACTCTAGAGTCATATCAAAAGATACTAAAGTCTAGAGTCATACTGGATATACTGATCCCTAAAGTCAAGTCTGAATCCACTGAATTCTAGAGTTATATCTGAACTCTAAGGTCTGAATCTGAATTAGGCATCTTAACTTAAGTCTAATTACTGATTTCTGAGCATAGACACAGTAATATGTTTATAACTGAAAAACTGAATCAGCACTTACCTGGTGTCGGCGAGGTGTGAGCGTGACGGTTCAGGTTTTTCTGAAAATTTTTGACTGAAAAACTTTTCAGAGACGCAAAAACGCGCTCTGATACCAGTCTGTAACACCCCGCTTCTTATAATACATCAGAGTGCGCGAATTTTCACAAATTTACTGAAAACTTAAATAAAATACTTATTTTTGCGAAACTGATCGAGATGCTACCGTGAAACTTGATTTTCTGAAAATCGTTAAAATTTTTAAACTGATAAATGAAACGGTTATAAAGTCTTATCCGACGAACATCGGAAACAGAGTCTAATAATAGTACTGAAAAGTTTAGCGGAAGTCTAGCGTGGCAAAAACATAAAATACAATAAACATGAATATCCTGAACAGCTCGCCCGCTCACTCCTCATCACCGACCCTGCGACCTGAAAAACATGAAAGATGTGGGGCGTGAGCACTAAGGCACTGTGCTCCGCAGAAACTCATTCTAATGTACAACATCGTAAATAATAACATGATCATGAACTAAGTATATACAACTGAACTGAATCTGAAACTGATATCAGGTAACTGATAAAAACTGATAACCGTTCTGATCTCGCGACATAAGTCACGTAACTGATAACTGAATCTCGCGACCGAAGTCA